TCTCATACTTAGTGCTCATACTGAGCTGGCACTCTGCAGGTCTCCTGAATTCTGAGCATGGCTTCTGCCATTGCACTTAATTGGAAATCCAGGAAATGCATATTCCATTGGTAAGTAATACCAGGGGCTCCAACAAAACCAGCATAGGTAACTAAACGAGTTAGTTTGTTTCAAAAGGGAAAAAAAAAAGACAGTTTTCAAAATACGAAAGAGTACAAGGTAAAAAGAACAGGGATAAGCATTAAGTATAAAATTCACACAGGCCTAGGGAGATTACTACAGCACCTTGGAAGTGACCAAAGGATTAATACTCATATTTATGGGATCAAATGTTGCCTGAGTCTAGAATCACAAAGCCAATTAAGCTCATTAAACTACATTCGTTGTAATTTTTGTCTTTTGACAGTGAGAAAAGAACTTTTATCTGAGGCATGCAAGTCCTTTTAATTATCAGGCCTAGAGAGACATTAAAATGAGACTGCAATCATACCCCACTCCCTTCTTTGAGCTATGTATTCATCTCTTGAAACTGCTTGGTATTGACACACGTATCTATAAATTAACCTAATAATGCCACACTGGACACTATAACTGCTTGGTGATGCGGAACGTTAGCATGATTATGTCAATTTTGGTTTGGTCTGTTGGGGTCAGGAGCGGAGTCCAAACCAATAGCCTCCTATAAATTTTATTTAATAACACTTTCGTTTTGAAGATGGGCAGTTTGAAATAGCAAAAATTGAGGCAGAAAACGGCAATATTACACATGATCCAGTTCCCCAATTCCCTAACTTATATACCGATCAATTTCAGATCCAATCTTGTGCAAGACCAAAGGAGGAAGGGGCGGGAGCCGCGGAGAGTCTGGAGCAGATCCTGCTGTCCTGGTCCAGAGATCCGCCACGCACGGTGCGCGCAGCCGCCTCCGGAGGCTCTTGGCTCCTCCCGCCTGCAGGCGGCGCTGTGGGAGCCCAGCCGGAGCTGTGTCTGCGCGCAAGAAAGGCAACGTTCCCGGGATG